AATGATCATTGATCTTTGCCTACGTGTGTCTGATGTTAATTACATTGACAGTTGAAGCGATATAACAAGTTGTGTTCTAGTGTCTAAGGCTGTTACAAATACACTATTTTTAAAATTTGGGGCTGGGAAGTATGCTGTAGAGGCTTGATTCACTGACAAGGCCTTAGGTGGCCTCTTTTACTCTGGGGGAGATGAAGTCAACCATCAGGAAGAGTTTACATAGCTCATGAGCTGAAAAGTTCAACTGGGCTTTAAGTACATTTACACACTAAACTTTGATTACAGCTTCTGAAAAGGAACGAGCACTCTCCTCCCAAGGGCAACGAGAGAAGTGCCAAGTACGTGGTTCTCCTGCCTCCATATTGTTTTCTACTCCTCACTCTCTGACACTTGGACAGACTCACTTCCTAGCACTGCCCGCCATAATTGTTTGGGCAGAGTTTGTGCAAATTCAGTTCTGCTCTTGGTCTCCTGGTGCTGTTTCTGGCTCACACCTTTCTGAGGGAAGGGAGATAGTTAAATGGTTTGGTTTGAAAGGCCTTCCCCACTGGGCCGGAAACTTCAGGTATAACAAAAATAAAGAAATACAACGTAACAAGTCAATAAGGGGCAATCATAACAAGGAGTGGTCTTATCTATAAGAACTCAAAGCAAAGATATAGGTGTCTGTGTCAAAAGCCTGCAAGTAGGAACATTCATCCTATAATTGAAAACAAAGTGTAGAACATTTATCAAATGAATAGATGTTTTTCTCCAAAAGGAGAAAATACCAACCAAAAAAATCTGGTCATGATTGTAACATATGCTCTTGTAACATTTCGTTAGTTTTCTACTTATAATCTTTTTAAAAACCCACAGATAAAATGATCCAGTCTTTGCCTCTGGACAAGCACCTAGTGGGTATGAGATGAAAAGTGGTGATTTTCAGGTCTCAGAGGAGGCTGGGGGTCTAGGAGAGGGGACTGGGCATTGAGTAAGCAGCTCAAAGGAATCAGATTCTGAGGCTCCAGAAGCTGGGATGGGTTCAAAGTACCACATTTAGCGAGGATGGGGCACTGGAACTGGATTGTAGGCCAAGTGTCAGGCCAAAAGTCAAGGCAAGTAATAAAATGGAGCTGGTGGGTTTCAGGAGTGGTGCCTGGAGAGTCCCAAGACCACTTGCTGTGGCCTTGTCCAGTTCTTACTGGTCAGCTGAGGCCAAGCCTGAGGGTAGAAGTGATTGCACAGTTGGTCACCTCCCTCTCTCCCTTAGCCCTGAAGTTAAAGGTTAAGCTTTTCCTTGCCTTTCTTGTTGGAAATCTTTTACTCTCAGCATGATTCAAGGTCAGGAGAAGGTTCCCACTGCCTCCTTCCTGGGCTGATGCAGGCGTGGTGTGGTAGGAGTCCAGAGCCTCTGCAGTGACTGCTCTTGGTTTGGGCCTGGGGTTATAGGGCAGGCTGCCATGGCACAGGGTATAGAGGGTTGGCTGGGGGTCTCAGAGTTTGAACTGGATGGGTTATGAACCTTGGACATGGTCACCCCTTCCACACACCCCTCCTCATCATACCTTCTTCAAACAGCTGGTCTGGGGGAAGTCTCACAAATTCAGTGACAATTAATAAAAAAAAGAAAATGGAACAGCTCTGGCACAAAGAGAGTACAAGAAAGAGCAACCAAACTGACCAAAAGATGAATAATATTCACCAGAAGAGTATTCCAAAGGGCAGAAAACCTTCTAGGGAATTAGAGAAGGTTTCATGAGGCAATGACCCTGATGACAGAAGACCACAACTGCAAGGAGAGATGGAAACAAGGAGTTGGTCAGAGAGACGCCAGTGGATTTTAATTTACGCTTCATGGTTCAATACTGATAAAGTGGACAGAAGGAAGGTCAGGGTGTAGAAGATGTAAATGACATGATTAATCTGATGGCTAAGAGTAATTTATATTAAACTCTCTGACGTGCACACAGAGAAAATATTGTCCTCTCCTCCAAATATGGCAGTTCCTTGAACTCTGGTCCTTCTGAATTTGCTTCTTTGTCCATCTCGTCCAGTTTCATGGCTCTAACACAGTTCACATCTGACATCTCCACGTGCGTATCTCCAGCCTGAATTCCTCTGACTCCTGACTCATATTCACCTGCTTACTTGAAATCTCCACTTGGATGTACAATAGGGATCTCAAATTAACATGGCACAAAAAGGAACTCTTGATACCCTTTGCTTTCAAAGTTGCTTTTCTTAGTCATCCCCGAATGAGTAAGGGTAACTCCATTCCAGCTCGGGTCATGCCAGTCTCCCATCGAATCCATCAACAAGCCATGTCAGTTCTACCTTCACAAAATACCAGCATCCAACTGCCTCTCAGCACCTGCTCTGTCCTAATCCAAGCCACTGCCTCTGTTTACCTCCTCCCGGGACTCTCCTCTTCTGCCTGAGGGCACTTATAATCTATTCTCTCACAATAGCCAGAAGTGATCTCATTAAACATAAGACAGATCATGTCACTCTTCTGTTGAAACCTTTACGTGACTTCTCTTCTCAGAATAAAATCCAAAGCCTCACAATGGTCTGTAAAAGTCCCCCAGTTACCTCTCCTATATGCCTTCTGCTACTCTTCTTCTTACCTACTCTATTCCACCCTTACTAGCCTCATGGATCATGCCAGGAACAGTGTCTGCTGCCTCAGGGTCTTGGCATATGCTCTCCTTCTGCTCTTTCCCAGTTAGCTACATGGCATACTCTCTCACTTCCTTGGTCTTTCCTCAAATGTGGAAACTACTCTTTAAACAAAGACAGTTAGAAGACATACTGACTTTCAAGAGCCATAGATGATGGGGATTCAAAACAAAAACCAACTTACGGGACATAGAATAACAATGATAACGATTTGCATTAGTGCTTTGCATTTTACCAAGCTATATATTTTTTAAATTCTGAAAAAAACACTGTGACTACATGGTATTGTCCATGGTTTACTAAGGTCATAGAGCCAGTAACTTCTAGAATCAGAAAACAGAGACTTCACTACCATCTTGTGGCCCCAGAGCAAATGCTCGTCCTTCTCTACATTGAAGTTTATTACGTAATGATAATATAATATAATATATTATTTATTATAATATATATTATATTATTATATATAATATATATTATATTATATATATTATATATTATATATTATATATATTACAATTAATATATAATATATATTAATATAATATATTAATAATTAATATTAA